TTCATATGAGGACCTTGTGAAAGAACATCCACAACTAGACAATCACCAACATGATCAAGGAACCCACATATATGACCAGTGCCAAACTTGCAATCAAAGCAATATTCCCAATAGATATACAAAATGGACCAAACCACCATTTAAACAAGAGATTACGTAAACAATCAAATATTACTTATCAACTAGGCAATTATGTACGCCAACCCCCGGAAGGAAAAAAGGAAACTTGTACAACTCTACACATGCAATACCTTTGAAGAATCTCTAAGCTGCGCCTTAAGATTCATTACTTTAGGGACAAGCACTTGAATTAAGGGCATCTGCACAGTGACGCCGCCAGAGCTTCCAGCGGCTGTGTAGTGTATCAATTCAGATATAACTGCAATACAAAGGAAAACAAAAGGGGGGGAAAATAAGAAAATCAGCCCAAAGACAACACAGAAATTGATGAAGTAAATGCATATAATTTACAATACAGTTCCCTAAGGAACATCAGCTTATCCAATTTGTTTTTACCGTTTACCGATGCCTCTGAAAGTAGCTCAGAATTCAAGCTTGAGAGGGCTGTGAGCACCAATGGGTGGGATGCAAGCACAGAACCAGGGATCCTGAAACCCACATAATTTCAATTAAGTACCACGAATCTTTGTTTCCCCTCAAAAAGCCCTAATTAAGTTTGCACAAAACACCAATTAATTGCAAGCACAGAACCAGGGATCATTAAACCAACAAAAGTTCATACCCATGCTTCAGTCGAAGCCAAGAAGCAAACGCCTCAAGAACCTGAAAAACCAACCAGCTAAAAATGATTAAAAAAAAGCACTATAACATCCAAGAGCAAAACTTGGTAAATCTCAAACATCAGCATAAAGTAATCTATACAGTTATGAGAATAATCACCTGCTCCTTAAGCTCATTAATATTCAAACAGGCTGTCAAGATGTTAAGAGCAACCTCCATTTGTGAAGTAAGCTCTTTATCAAATTGGCGACGTCTTTCCGGTCGAGCTGCTATTTTGTAGTTGAATACTTCCTGATTTTAAATCCAAGAAGTAAAAAACTTATGAAAACGGTGAAAAATTAGGCATGCGTCAACAATGATGCAACTAAAGTTGAAAGAAAAATACATTATTTGGGCCATATATAAGACCGCTAATAAAATAACTCCAGTGCTTCACTACATGAATAACCCTCAGTTAAAAATAAGAAAAGACCAAAGAGCATGTGATGCAGCACCTACGGGCTGTTCTACATCAGCATGATTCTGAAAACTTTGAAAGCATTAGGAAAGAAACAGTATGCTTTAGAAAGGACATGCATTATTTATATGTCAGATTTGTTAACTTCACCTCATGCTTCCTTTGTGTGTGTGTGTGCGTGTGTGTGGGTGGGTGGGGGGAAGGAATCCAGAAACAATGAAAAAAAACAGTCAAAATCACTATGAAAACCTTTTGAGTCTGCAATCTAACCAAGTAGCACTACTTAACTTTATAAAGCACTTTCATCATTTTCCTAGAAATCTTTATGAAAACCTTTTAAAACTGCAATCTAACCAAGTAGCACCGTGAAGAATGACTTAACTTTTTACAAAGCACTTTCATCATTTCACATGGACGAGATTTAAATCATCCTTGTCAAACACAGATGCCAACTGCAGTGTGCAAATATAAATTTAGCAAGCATCATTTATATACCTCAGGCAAAACTGTTAGTAACTCCAAAAACCCTGGTATGTATTCCGGATGCAAATTCATCTCATCCTGAAGCCACTTCACAATACCACCACCACCCCAATCTTCAGCAGGAACATGTACAGCCAAAGCAGCTACAGCAATGCTAATCTACAAAGCCAGATACTTGAGCATATATCCTCTTGGGATCATAAATGTGATGAAAGAGTGTCAAAGAAACTTCTAGATAATACCTGAGTTCTGACTTTTGGGGGGCCTTTGTGGAATTTTCTCAACAAGTTCTGCACCCAAAATACGCATGAACAAAAAACTTTCAATATTTGTAACAAAACAATCAACCATTCTTCATATAAAGAAAAAGGTCCATTACACTCTAAGAAGACACTAAGGTGAAAACTGAGGATGGATACTCAATTCTCACTCAAATTGACAATGGATAGTGGATACTCACTCACATTTAAAGAATCACGTAATGGGCGAAAAGCTTCAGAAGGTAGTTCTTCAAAATCTCGTTGTACCTAGACGAGATGCAAAATGAACTAAGAATCTAACACAAGAAACCACCACAACCTAACCAAGGCTTACATAGTTTGGACATTAGATCTTAAGCAACTATGGGAATATAACACAATAAAGTAAGTGCATGAACTTTGATCACTTACAATAAGGAGAAGAGAATTACCTTGCTTCTAAGGGTCTGAGAACAAAAGATTAAAGTTTCTAGATTGCTAGTTGCATCATGAAGCAAATTATCAGCAACCTAATAGAAAATAAGCACATTAATATTCCGAAAACCCAAAAAGGAATAACAACAGATTTTACTCAATAGGGAAAAACTCAGAACACCCATAAAAACGAAAAACTTGAAAGAGAATCACAGGCACATACAGACACATGCATACAATCGAATCATTCATATATGGCCACATGAATTGATAGATTTTACACTCGCTGCACCACCTTGTATGCATGTGTCTGTATGTTTTATTTATGTGACTACTAAGCACAGGCATATTTTATGAGTGGGATGTCTTAATTAACTGTTTTACATGTCTTGGGACACTTTTCAACACATTCTGGAGATGGATAAATCTTGTTGTAATTAATTTTATGTTAAAATCATGATCTTTTATAGATTTTTACAAAATAAGTTTAGATTTAATCTGTAGTTTAGATATATAGAGATAGAGATAGAGAGATAGGAGACAATAATGGGGAACCGATCAACCTTGACTTCTTACCTCTGTTTTATTGAATATATTAGGAGTTGCATGACAAATTAGTTCAAGTATAACATAATAGCATAAGTATATGCATGCACAGTACAAATATAGCCTATCCTATTCTAGATAAAGAAGACATATGACAACCAGAAATCTATCAATTCCTCAAGGTAAAACTTCTAATTTTCAAAATTTTCTGAGAAATGTATCAAAGCAACAAATGGCTCCCCTTTCGCAAATTAGAAATGAAATACATAAGAAATTAAGTAATACTATCCTGACCTTAGCATACCGCTCAAATCAGATTATTGAAAATAAACCCTAAAATTGAATTCATCTCATTCAAATGAAATGAACTAGGGATTCCAAACTACTCACGAATCCAATTGCATCACGACGGGCAAACATACCAAAGTAATCACTGAAATCACAACGTAAACTAAACAAAAAACCCAAACCCAAATCGAGAACCAAACTCTCCAAAGCTTCAGCAATAGATCAAAAACTCAGGAAAAGAGAAAAGCACATTCAAATCTACCAAAACACAGAGTGAAGCGCACAGTACCTGCCAGGCGTCGAGCGTCCGCTGGAAGTCTTGAAGCCAGCGATCGGCCTGCAAACGAACGCCGTCGTCGGGGTGATGGTAGAGTGCGTTGAGGGCTTCCTTCACTGTGTTCTGGAGCTCCATGGTTTTGCAGTAGCTCGAAGCTCTCTCGCACTTGTTCGATTTGTTTCTTTCTTTATCTGTTTTTTTTTTGGTCTCAAGTGAAATTTTTTTTTATTTTTTATAAAACGGGCTTTTGGCGCCCCAATGAGAAATAAGGGTTGGGGGTTGAATTTGATCAGCGATGAGGATTTTGCTGGCCGTCCGATCTGGGCGTGGGGTTGACTCTTGGTCAATCCGAGTAATCGGGGGAGGGTTTCGCTGTGGAGTGAAAGAGGCTGTTTAAATTGAAAGAGATGTCTGGTCGATGGGACACGTGGCGCGTGATTTAGATGTGGCTGGGCGATCGGATTGGGGCCCACTGGACAGATTGTCCATGTGAAAATTCCCCTCATGGATTGAAACACTTTAACCGCACTACTAAAGTAATTTTGTGGGAGCCTCAAAGCAAAAATACAAAAATCATATATATATATATAATATTACTTTTTTTTTCTTTCCAATTTTGATAGGGAAATATTAATATTTATTTAGTTAAAAATGAAAATAAGCAGTGCATCCCATATAATTGTAATAAAAATGGTTTTGGATCAATTCACTAATCTGACATACAAATTTTACTTCCCTATTATGATAATAACTACCATTAATCTCTCACATGATAAAAAATGAAAAATAAAAATTCACCTTTTGAATTAATTAAGAAATATTAGGTGATAAGCAAAACTAGAATACCCAAGGTGTATTCCATATCATAAATTTCGTCAAATTAATAAATGAAATTCGACGTGATAATATGCAACCACTACATGTGCAAACGCATTTGTCTCTCCTAAACATTGTGTAATTAACCAGAATCGGTAAGATTTTTGTCCATATTTCTTAACAATATAGGACATGATTGCTGATTAAACAAATCTATAAAATTAAGGGCCCGTCTGATAACTATTTCAATTTTAATTTTTAGTTTTTATTTTTTTGTGCTAGAGTATAGAGAAAATAGAGAGAGAATGAAAATGAGAATGAGGGGAAAGATGAGAGCGGGGAGGATGGGAGGGAGGAGTAACAAAAGTTAAAATAAAAACTAAAAACTAAAAACTAAAATCTATTTAAAATTGTTTTCACTTTCAAGTTTTTGTTTTCACTTTTATTACTCATCTCCCCCATCATTTCCTCTAATCCTCTCTCTCAATCTCATCCTCACCCCTAAAATGACAGGAATCAGAGTGGTAAAGAAGTAAAAAAGAACCAAAAATGTAATTTGGCCAAACAAGAAAAAGAAATTATATATTGAATTGTTTTAAGCAGAAATTGTAAGGTGTTGGCTTAGGAGGCCCAAGGTGTGGCTCAGGCCTGGGTTGTTTTGCTGTTGTTTTTCCGTTTCCGTTTGGGCTTCGTCCCGCCCAGTTAACCAACCCGAATCCGAATATTAACCCGAACTGTCTCCTTTCCCGGTGGGTCAAACAGTCAAACCAAGTAATGCTTTTTTTGTTGGCAAATTCATGAAATCAACATGTGCCATTGCAATTTTGCCTCCAAGCGCATATAAGTTTCAGTCGACAAGCCGCTCTTCCTCTGCTACAGAGCAAAACACAGTAGAGAGAGAAAGAAGCTAGAAGAGAGAGAGAGAGAGGCATGGCTTCACGTTCAGAACCCGAAAACCCGTCGCCGAACATTTACATACCGCCAGAGTGGTCCGAGGCCGCAGACTGTATAGCATACGACTCAGTCACTTCGCCGCCTCCCATTGCCATAGTATGTGGCGCCAAAAACTGCGGAAAATCCACCTTTTCCCGCTACCTCCTGAACATTCTGCTCCAGAGGTCGGCTGCTCAGTTCCCTTTCCCACTTTGCAACCGTTGATTAAGTTCACGTATCTGATTAGTTTTTGAAGTAACCGTTGATTTCCTTGTGCTTATTTTCATGTTAGCTGAACTGGGTCTCCTTAGTTTATGAATTCTCTCTACTTTGGAAGTGGAATTTGGAAAAAGTTTTCATTTTTTTGATGGGTTTGTTTTGAATTTGAAGTTTTGTTACGTTTTGGCTGTGTGAGTTCTATAATTGCATTGATTTTTTTACAGTGATGTTCTATTAATTTTTTGTGGTTCTATTTCTATTTTCAGGTATAAAAAAGTTGGTTACTTGGATACAGATGTTGGTCAACCTGAGTTTAGTCCTCCTGGTTTTCTATCTCTCACTGTAGTAGATGAAGTCACTCCAGGCAATTGTTTATTTTTTGCACTTCTTGTGAATAATTTGTTTCACGCTGTAAACTGTTAAACATGTTAGAGGAGGTGTTCTTTTTTGCTTCTGTTGCTAATTGAGTTTTTCTTTTTCCTGTTTTGGTTAAAAATAGATTTGACAATCCCACATCTGAAGACACCGGAGAGGTATGAACTTTTATCTGCCTAGTTTAGGTTTTTAACTTGTTAGAGGAAGTGGTAATATTGCTATTATGTATTGCAGAATACTTGTTATGTGAGACTGCATGGATATGAATACTAATGGGCTAAATATGACTGTCTTTAGGAGCAAGGCTTAGACTAATAAACAATGAAAAATAAGGGTGTCCCATAAAGATTTCAATTTAGCTCATGAATGGTGTAGTAGATGGTTCAAGCCTTATAGGATTCAGAATAGTAGTGTAGAAGCTTGAGAATAATTGAGGAATAGTGTAAATTTATAATTTGTCTCTTTGTCACAGATGTCTTTTCTTCGGTGATGTTTCTTCGAAGAGGAATCCTACAACATACTTGAATTATATATTTGCTTTATATGATTACTATCAGAAGGAATACTGCTTGTTTGACAAGAGTGCTAGCCCTTCTAAAGTTGGATTGCCTCTTGTTGTGAATACTCCTGGCTGGGTGAAAGGTATGCTCTTTTACTTGGTCAACTGCTTCTCTCTTTTAATTGCAATCGAACAATTTTTCCAATCATATATTTTGTTTTTTGTTACTTTTTTTCTTTCCTATTTGGCCTTCTCCTGTAGATGCGAACTAGACTTACCAAAGTTCCACCCTAGCCATGTACTGTTTGAGGCAAGCCCCAAGGGGCTATCTTATGAATCTTCTTTTACTGAGTGTTGTTGTCTGGTTATGAATAATATATGATTTCCTCATTCCTCTTGTGTGCTAGGTGTTGGTTATGATATATTGGTGGATATGTTGAAGTATATGGCCCCTACCCATGTTGTTAAAATAAACATATCTGCTGAGAGTAAGAATCTACCATGTGGGGCATTCTGGTTAGATGAGGATCATGATGGGATGCTAAATCTAATCGAGATCAATTCAGCTCGTCAGGACTCTTTCAATAGATCGTAAGTTCTTGATGTCCTCAGCATTACCTGGTAACTTTAATTTGGTGCAGCTTATCTGTACATTTTTAATAATTGGTTTCCCCCTGTTGAGAACCATCGGTGCATTGTTGCATTCTTTTCTTGCTTGATTAAATACTGCAATATTCATATTAGTTTTAGACCAAATGCCAAATTTCTTTTTTATGTTTCATAAAGAATTTGTAGGAGGCGATTGCTTTTAGTTAAACTTAGGAAAGTTCTTCTTTCGAACAAAATCATTGATTGAATCAAGTTATCCAGTGTCAGTCATTTGCATAATTTTTTTCCTTCAGTAAGTAGCATATGCTTGCTAGAAGAGATGGAATTGTATGGATGTACTGGCTTTCTCTGTAACATATAATCTCCATTGTGTTGCAGGGTTCTAGTACAAAAGGACGCACGCCTGTTGCGTGATGTACGAATAATGGCTTATTTCAGACAGTGCTTTTCAAGTAACCTGAACATTACTACTATTAAAGAACTGGCTCATGCTTTGGCCTCTCACCCTCCTTATGAAGTTCCAATATCTAGCATTAAGATTAGACATCTGCATTGCCAGGTCAGTTCCCTGCAGGTTCTGGAAATTTTAAAATCTTGGTGTCTTACATGTGTGATTGAATTCTAAATTCTATTTCTGTTTTCTGTATGGTTCTTTAGAACATTTTGAGGGAGTGCTTAGTGGTGATTGCTTTTCTACCTCATTGCTTTTGATTTGTTGTTAATTGTCATTATCTTTCCAATTAAGGTTTTTAATAGTTTAGTTCATTTATGTTAGGTCCCAGGTTCTGAGATCTTCTATAGTTTGAACGCAACCATTGTTGGCTTGGCAGTTAGCTCTGAAGGATCGAAAGATTTACCTTGGTGTGTTGGTCTTGGTAGGTTACTCAGCTTTGCCACCTTTTTTTTGTTATATTTAATCTTCTCTGTATAGCTCTGCTCATAATTTTATATTTTCTGACTCAAATATGTGGGGGAACCTTGGGTTTTAATTGCGATTTTTCAGGAAAATTAAGAAGATTTTTTTCTAGAATTTGGTTTAGTGGTGGCAGTAAAGTACATTCTTTAGTTTTTTGTGTTTATGTTATCAGAGAAATCCAGATTTTTATTGTTGGTGCAATGTGGAAACATATAGATAGGTAGAACCAATCAGTTTGAACTAAGGTTCTTATGCATTTTGATTGATGCCTTTTTTATCTAGGAATTGTGAGAGGCATTGACACATTCAAAGGCTTGGTATATGTGATAACACCTGTTCCAAGAGGCACTCTGGAAAAGGTCAATCTTCTTCTGCAAGGTTTTATCCAAATTCCTACTGGTTTGTTGCAGGTAACTGAACCCCTCCTATGTAATAGATGTTTCGGAACAATTCTCTGCCTTTTCATAGTCTCTCGCATGCATTTGTGTGGAAGACAATTTTGGATTTCTTGCCCTTTTTCCCAATACAATCTGATCTTATAGGAACAACAGTTGGTGATGAAATGTTCTTGTTTCATGGATAGTCAATCAATCAGTTTCTCACTGTTATATGGGATGCGTATAAGCTACAGTAAATGAAACAGAATAACTGGAATGTTGCTCAGCTAACATATATATTTCTATCTCATCCAATACTATTGAGTGTTCTTTCTGTTAAATAAATCTCTGTAAAGCAAGATTCATTAATATTGATCTGTTCTTCTTATTGAATGGACCGAATTTTCAGGTCCAGGGGTGCATATCACCTTATATGTCTGCGAATGTTTTGTCTGCAAGCTAAGCTCATCCACAGTTGCTTGGGTTTCAAATGACCTCGTTTGCAGTCATTAAGCTAAGTAGTTTCCTGCTGTTCAAGAGATGGGCAAGCAATGTGGCAGCCCCCTGTTTTATGTAATTACACTTGGATTTGATCGTAAAGAAAATATCAAGGGTATTATGTTTATACTATTGGGCAGTGGTGATTGCACAATTAAGCCAATTGTTGTAACAAAATTACATTTTTGTTGAAGCTCTTACGCATATCTAAAAGAACACATATTACTTGACCTGCCTTAGTCAATAACTTGGCGAATCTCTTTCTCGTTTTTGTGGTGAAGCAATTTTTGTTGCTTTGAGTCGCAGAACTGCATTTTCTGTTTTTATGGTTCATGGAATGGTTTGAATTGCATTGTTGAATCATGGACTTACTCTGAAATTGGCAGATGCTCCAGTGGTCGGACTTTTCTGTACCACTTGGTTAGCAAATTATTGGGTGATACAGATTGGCGGTGTAAATGCCGAGCTAGAAGCTAAGTTTCCTAGATGACACTTATAAACAAACGACCTGCTGAATGTTTTGTATGTCCAATGTCTTGGTGGAGCTATGTTTGAAGTAGAAGCTACGTATGGTAAAAGGAGCAGTGCTTTAGAGCACCAAATATAACCCTTCATAATCTTCATTAAATTTTTGTTTTATTTATTGTCATACCAATTTTCTTAAGCATAGTTAAGACCCTGAACATTTTGAAATTCGAAATACGGCCCAAGGCTTGGGATAGACAAAAATTCTTCTGGAACACAAATGCTAAGTCGTTCAAATCAGTGGCTTAACTCTATTGTCATGAAAATGCTGATCCATTGATACAACTTAATGAGGAAATTGATATACTTTGTGCACACATGAGAGGATATTTTGGAATGCTGGAATGTAAACAACTATTTATATAAATGGAAAAGAATATTAAGTTCTATTAGGCTCGAGTCTTATAGTTTTAAAAATAAATTAACCATTTCCTTCTTTCAATGAAATTATTTGTATTATAGATATGGCAAACTTCTCAAATATCATATAATCATGAAGATATCCTCATTATAATCATCATGATACATTGAATTCTATGTAAAAATAATAAATAAAAACTATCTTCTCTTAATTCTCAGGATTTGACGCATGCATGCAATGTCCAAAACTTGTGTTATTTTTCTCAAACACTTTTACTATGAAATACATCCTACCTAACAATCACAATCATTCATTTTACAACATTGGACATGAATATTTTGCGTCTTCAATTTTTTCTAACAATGAAAATTTAACATGAATTGTATTTAAAGGTGAGGTGAAAACGGTATCGTGTCTAATTCCAAACGGATTATTGACTAAAGAATTCAATGATCTTAAATAATAGATTATTGGTTTTCTAATTTCACAATTTCATAAAACCATTTTTATTGAGTAAAATATTGAAGGAAACTAAAAACATTCCGAACATTATATGCAATACTTTAAAAGATATGAAGAAGAAGAAAGACTACCAACCAACGGTGGTTGATATCAGGTGGAGTACTCGATTTCATCCAATCACAACGGCAATCGAAAATGATATTTTATTCCATGTGGCAAGAAGGAGAGGATAAGTATGTGAGTTTGTGCAATATAATATCATAACAGTGTAATTTAATTAGTGAATAATTATTTTCTAATTTCATACGAGTGGTGATACAAACTTTGTGCCACCCCTTTTTAAAATAGTAAAACTGTCTTTTTCCTCTTGGTTGGATATCCAGAAGTAGAGACGTTGAGATAGTCACTAAACCAAACAAATAAAAGTTTGAACCTAAAAAAAACCCAAACAAATAAAAAATATAAATAGGCCCGATCCATTTAATAGAAAGTTGTAGATTGGGTTATCTCTTTCTTTTTTAACCCAGGCTCATCGTTCTGCCGTAAGGGCGTAACTTTATATGAGTCACATGATTCATTTGAATAGTAACTTTAATTAAGTTTAATGAAATGATCATATGACTAATTTCATACGAGTGGTGATACAAACTTTGTGCCACCCCTTTTTAAAATAGTAAAACTGTCTTTTTCCTCTTGGTTGGATATCCTTATTATAATATGACTTATAACTAAATTTTATTTTGTTGTTTTTATTTATGAACAGAAGTAGAGACGTTGAGATAGTCCATTGACTAAACCAAACAAATAAAAGTTTGAACCCAAAAAAAACCCAAACAAATAAAAGATATAAATAGGCCCGATCCATTTAATAGAAAGTTGTAGATTGGGTTATCTCTTTCTTTTTTAACCCAGGCTCATCGTTCTGCCGTAAGGGCGTAACTTTATATGAGTCACATGATTCATTTGAATAGTAACTTTAATTAAGTTTAATGAAATGATCATATGACTAATATGAAGGTCCACATAACGAGTCCATATATGACATCCTCACAATAGAATTTCACTGCAGATGGGATGAAGTTAATTCTCAACCTTTGACATGGCAGGTCCAAAACTTGTGTTATGTTCTCAAACACTTTTGATATGAAATACATCCTACCTAACATTCACAATCATTTTACAACATTAGACATTAATATTTTGTGTCGCTTCAAATTTTATTTTATTTTTTTCATTTCTAACAATGAAAAATTAATATGAACTGTATTTAAAGTGAAATGAAAAGCGTGGTATCATGTCTAGTTCCAAATTGTCTATTGACTAACGAATCTAAACACCTTAAAAAATAAATTATTGTTGTTCTTATTTAACAATTTGTTATTCTGTTTTTATTGAGTAAAATATTGGAGGAAACAAAAAATATCCCCAACATAAATTGCAGTCTAAACAATGAAAATAAGAAGAATAAAGGTGGCAAATAGTGGTTTGAATCAGGTGGAATAATCCCAGTTGGTTGGAAAGTGCATGATAGACCGTTATTTCAGGTACAGGCTCAGCCTCAGAACCGTCATTTTTGTCCAAAGCCCTTTTTCTATGTATAGGCAATCAAATTCCACCACCCAAAATTTAAAATCTTGATTTGGAAAAGTTTGCCCCTCTCCTTGTTTAGGCATTTACACAGACGCACACAGACACAGAGAGAAAGGTCATGATCTAGGAACGGTCTGCTCCACCAAGGTCATGATCTTCCATCTCATCAGCCTTTGAGCACTTTGACTCCATTTTCATAGCATCTCTCATTTCCACAATCTAGACCTAACAAAGCTGCAGCAACCCAGATAAGGATAAATAAAGGCCATATATTTCTTGGTTTTATGGTTGTTTCTGTGTTGAATCAACACAACTAAAATGGCGAAGCGATCCTTTACTCGTTATGTCGAACAAGAGCTGGGAAAGTTGCCACATTTCGTGATCTACGCTTTGCTCGAATGGACGTTAATCATTCTGCTTTTCATTGATGGGTTCCTTGCCTTTGCTGCCAATGAATTTGCCAAGTTCTTCGAGCTGAGAATCCCATGTTGGCTCTGCACCAGAATCGATCACATCCTCGTTCATAGGGACCAAGATTTTTATTACAATGATTCCATTTGTGAAGCTCACCGGAAAGATGTTTCATATCTTGCTTATTGCCACAACCACAAGAAGCTGTCTGATATAAGAAAGATGTGTGAGGCATGCCTGCTTTCATTTGCTACTGAGAAAGAATCTGATTGCGATACATACAAGTCATTGGTTGGTATTTTGCATAAGGATCTTGAGTGCTTTGTTGAGGATGATTACCACCAAATTCAGCTGAGTGTGCCTGCAGCAAGGACATGGGAGGAGGCAACAGGGCAGGTTGAGAAGAGTAGCAGCATTGTTCAGGTTTCGTGTTCATGTTGTGGCGTGCCATTGAAGATGAGCTCTACTTCCTCCGCCTATCCTAAGGGCAAAAATGGCAGCGCATTAGCACATGCTCCGGCTCCTTCTCCACGAGCACCGTTGAGAAACGATGAGAATCGTGGTTTGGACTTGCCCCACATTCGATACACAGAACTCAAACTTATGTCTGATCATGAGTCCGAGCTTCCAGAGGACGAGTATGGATCACACCCACCAAATCGTGACTCTCAATGTGAGTTAAGCGCAAAACCTTGTTCTAGCTTCCTTTTGGTTAAGTTCTTTACATGTATCTTTAAGCTGGCAGCTTTATGCTTTATCTGTCCAAATCCGATATGATTTTTTCTTTTTTGGAAACCATTAACTGATTTGGAGTATGGAATTTGTGTAGCAGTCAAGGAAGATCCCAAAGCTTCTGCAGTGCCATCATTGACAGAAGGTGATGATTTAACTGATGATGCAAACAGAACACCTGTTTTTGGCAAAGGAAACAGGTTTTTTGGGATCCCACTTACAGATTCAGCTACAAATAGTCCCAGGGTGGCTATGAGGATTTCAAGGAAATCACCACTGGAAAAAGGTAGCGACTTTGTGTTAGAATCTGCCGATGGGAGCACTCCCAATGATGCCGATTGTGATTCCATTTTGCACCGGTTGAAGAGACAGGTCCGGTTGGATAGGAAATCGCTGATGGCTTTGTACATGGAGCTGGATGAAGAAAGAAGTGCTTCAGCTGTAGCAGCAAACAATGCAATGGCCATGATCACCCGGCTACAAGCAGAGAAGGCTGCTGTTCAGATGGAGGCCTTACAATATCAGAGAATGATGGAGGAACAGGCAGAGTATGACCAGGAAGCCCTGGAAGCAACATATGATCTGCTTGCAAAGAGAGAGGAAGAGCTCAGGATTATAGAAACTGAAGTAGAGGCTTATAGAGAAAAATATGGATTGCTCAAGGAATTTGGCTATGAGGCTGGTGAAGAGGTCAAAGGCTTGAACAATGGTGAGCATAATGGGGAGAGCACACCCAATGATCAAGTCATGTCATCAAAGGAGGAGAATGTAGAGGGAGCGCTTGCTGAATCTTTGAAACCTTTGAAAGAGGAGAAAACCTACCTCCTGGGTCGGATGAAGAAACTCGATAAGAGAAGTAACTTATCAGCTAACGGGTTCCATTCCTTGCAGGGCTCTGACGGTCTGAATCATCTTGATGATGAGATAGGTAAACATATGCAGACACACACACATACATACAAGCACATACATTTATACACACGCACACGCACTGAAGTAGAATTTGAGCATGTTCTTTTGCATTTCTAACAAAAGACCAATTTCTGTTTCCAATATGGCAGGAAATGGAAACAAAGCTGCTCTAACAAGGCAATTGTCATTATTGTCTCATCTTAGTGAAAGGGTGAAGGCCCTTGAAACAGACACTGGATTCTTAGAATATGCTGCTAAGACGCTTGAGAAACATAGTGAAGGAACACAACTTTTGACAGAGATAACTCAAAACTTGCAGAAGCTTCGGCACCTTGTCATGATGCCCCCGGAGAAAAACAGCGGATTACCTTAAAAAAAAAAAAAAAAAAAAAAAGATTATCCTGATAGTTCTCATGGTAATTGCTTATAATCCTCTTCCCAATTTTACATGATATCTTCTCTTTGATTAGATAGATAGCTTGAAGTTGAAGCTTCAATTAATTTGTAATTTTATCAACATTTACTTTACAAGGATGCTAGGATATTGTTGGCAATGCCAGAGAAGGTAGAAAAGGTGAGGCAAAAATCTTCATAGCTGACGAGCAAACCCCGCCTCGGAGGACCCGAACGGCCTTGCGAACCTCCACAGATGAATTCCTTGAAGTATACATGTTTCTTGTCCACTAGAGTTTTTCTCTTTTCACTAGAGTTGTTGCTTCATGCATGGATCCAAAACCAAAAGGCATATGCTTTTTCTGTACTTATATTGTCTTTTTAAATAGAATTTTTCTTTCCCACAACTTTTGTTCTAAAATTACATATAGAGAGAGAGCGGAAAGAGAGAGAGAAGGCGGAAATTGCCATTGATGATCAAGACAACTAGTCTGGAATGCGTAGATTAACAAGAGCCAGCCAACTTTTTGCAAATATGAGAAAGGAAAAATCAAAAACGAGAGCCAGCCAAACTTTTGCAAATATGAGAAAGGATAAAACAAAAACGAAAGAAACACATAATTGGAATCTGGAAATAATTCTTTTTTCTTCACCTGAAACTGAAAGCAGCTCATAAAGCACATAACTAGTTATTGCTGTTTCCAGTCATTCTTTTCAACTCTTTTAATACAAGACACAAGTCTTACTGAGATAATCCTATAAATCACATGAATTAAGCAACAGAACCACTTTAACCAAAAGAATGAATATGTTTTCTTTCTGTCTCTTTCTCAACTAAACATCAAAACTCATCTTCTTTGTAAGACAAATCTACAAAAAGAAATACGAAACAAGAAGAATTGCTAATGGGTGGTAAGTTATGTGGATTACAAAAAATAGTCTGGAGTTCTGCGTGTTGCATCAGGCTCAACCTGCCGAGGTGCTGGGTCAAATTGAAGGAAATTCTGCTCCATATTCTCTCCAATCTCAAGAATTGCAGCCATATTTCCACACCGATAGCAGTAATTTGGAGCACTAAACACCGTGACAACATTCTTTTCCTAAAATAATTAAACAAAATTAGAAACAGAACTCTGAAAGCATCAATGTGAAACGGTATTTATGCTTCTTATGCACTAACCTGGCACCAATTGTAGCCTTCCATCACAAGCTGGTGCGCTCTAGAAATAAGACTCAGCCCATTAGTATGATTAAATTGGGCTGCTATATCTTGTCCAAATGTATACCCTGCGCCCCGAGGAGATATTCCCCACCCACATCGGTCATCCGGGTCAGACCACAAGAGATCACACATCGGACCTTCATGAGGAACCTGCTCCCATTCAAATGAGGGGAAGACTAGAATTACTAAAATCGTATATACATACACCATGAAATGACAATGCCACACCAGTATTCAAGAGATGCTTATGCCAGTATATCTTGAAAAAACTGTCTAACATGGAAGACTTCAAAACAACCCCCGAGTAAGTGATGTGCTGCTTCAATCTGTTCAAGTGAAGCTTTGTCGGTGACTTCTCTCTACGTTAATATACTCAAGAAACCAATATTGCATAACTTACAGATAAAGCGAGTTAAATATTGGAACATCAGGACCGCTCAGGTTCTATTTCATAAAGAGTTAACAGGCAAGCAAACCCAACAACCAAGGTGAGCCGTCCATGCAGATCAAAAACGAGAATGAGACAATTTTGACCTTCTATGCGTAAAATAAATTATGACAACAATGTGAGCATGCATTTCACTTATATATTTCTTTCAGTTTGTGTAACACACATAAAACAGACTTGCTGAAGAAAAATATACTGTTAGAGGATGAAAACTTTAGCGTACCTCTTGTATCCGGTCCAGAGCACGAATGTTGTCTAAAGTATCTAAAGAGGGGGAGAGTCCGCCATGCAAGCAAAAGATCTAAAAGAAGGGAAAAATGCTTGTTAAATGAGAATAATGGGGATAACAGGGTAAGATAATATCTATACAATTCAAACCTGACTCTCGATCAAGGCTGTGAGCGGAAGATAATCAAAAAGGTCAGTGAAATGCTTCCAGACATTAGCATTTCCATATTTCCTCAAACACTCATCATAGAAACCATACCTGAGAAGGCAACAGTTTACTGATATAAATCAGGATTTGATATTTCAGAATGACTAATTAAAACACTTTTACCCTAGTGTGTCATCACTCCTATGAAATTTAGCAACTTCCTTGGAGTATTTGTCAACATAATGAAAAAGATAAAGGCAAAACTGTCTACAACATATAAATGGCTTCTTTTACACGACTAATTGGGAAGTCTTTCGGATCAACAGCGAGTTCCACGACTTGGTCTTCACTATCAATACTTGTAAGGTTTCACTTTTGGGATGAAAACACTTTAAAAGAATAATGCCTTACACTTGAGTTATTTGCCGGCTCTCATGATTTCCTCTAAGAATTGTAATTCTATCTCTGTAACGTACTTTCAGGGCCACTAGAAGTGTGACAGTCTCCACTGAGTAGTATCCTCGATCTGGATTAAAGAAGAAAAGAGAATTACTGACAAAAGTTGTATAAGCATTTTCTGGTCAAACAAAATGATTGAACGGTCTAAAATTGTGTGAAATTAAATCATCTTTGTCATTAAAAGGAAGTTAGTATCCTACTTGCCACTACATAGTCAGAGAATCAAATGGCTTTCAATTTCAGGTTTACAGACAAAGATGTCTAATAATCTTGTTCATCAACTTTCAAAGATTGATAGTGTGCTCATTGCTCAGATGAGACACTACTTAATAAATCCGAACTATAAAGATACAAAGAAATGAGATATGAACTAAAAATTGTGAATGCAATGGATAAGATGGCATGCTTGGTCAAATCATCTAAACTAACTTTTAGGCTTGCGTTGGAAAAATGTATGTAAGTCATGGCTGGGTTAGACATGGGAACTTAAAGAGACCTTATTGAGCCTAGTGTGGTTGAAAATTACATGTGACTACTTCGCTCCATCCCTTAGACCGAACACAAGTCAAATCTAACAACACGAGCACACATAAAAGTCATCCCTAAGTAGGTGTTCCCAGAGAAAAACTTAATGTTCATTTCTAGCTTATAACCAACTATCATAATAATGTAAGAACCTCATGTTCTACTGCAACAGCTCAGAACCTGCCCAAGTCCTTGAATTCCATAAATAACCAGCTAAATCTCCTCTTTGTAAAGAACTAAAAAGCACCGGCCTGCCCCTTGTTACATTTACATATTAACTAACTTCCTAGTTCCTACCCATTTCTTCGACCAAAAACAAAAAAAAAAAAACAACAAAAACAAACTTCCTACCCATTTCAACCCAATAATGAAAACTTTCACCGAAAAGACATGTCCATGCTCCTAAAGATTTCGCATTTTCCAAAAATCAATCTACTGCTAATTTCTCTAAAACAAATTAACTAAATTAAACAACAACAAGGCCAAGTGATAATGCCCTAACTGACCTACATAGTCGCCCATGAAGAGGTAATTGGTATCGGGGGCACTGCCGCCGATCCGAAAGAGCTCGACGAGGTCGTGGAACTGGCCATGGATGTCTCCGCAAACCGTGACGGGGCACTTCACCGGTTGCACATTCCATTCCTCGACCAAAATCGCCCTCGCTTGCTCGCACAGTATCTTCACCTCTGGCTCCGGCAGAGGCTTGCACTGCATCAAGTGCTCAATCTGACGGTCCAGATCGGCGTGCGGTGGCATCGTCGTGAATTATCTTCGCTACTCGTTGATTGGGGCACGGTCTGAGCTGAACTCGCCGGAAATGGAGTTGATTCTAGGTCATCTCGTCGGGGCGAGATGTTGGAGATTAGGGTTAGGGTTTGAGAAGAGAGAATTTAGGATTGGGTGCTGTAGCTCAATTTTTTTGTTGCTGGTGACTGGTATGAGCACATTGTTCGTATACGCAGTAGGATTGCATATTTATTAAGTTACCTTACTTAACATGAATGTGGAAACATTCATGTGGCATTGGCATGTCGATGTATCCAAATCAATAAAGCTACTATTATTATGTGGCAGATGAGTTGGACGCGCTATGTCAGTTTCAAATTATATTTTATTAGGGGTTTTTAGGTTTAATGGTCCTTAATTTTTTTAGCAGATTTGTATTTTGGTCATTTTATTTTCAAAATTGTTTCAATGGTCCCTCAACTTCACTTTTAATTGGACAAATGATCATGTCGTCAAGTTTGTTATCTTTTTTTGTTAAATACAAGGGCAAAATGATATTTTTGTATTATTTTTAATTTATGCACCCATTTCCTTCCTCTTCTCTCTACAGCATTCATCCTCTCCTTCATTTATGCTTCTTAGTTCTCAAAAATTGTGCAACTCTTTTACTCTCTCTCTTTAGTCACTCCTTCATCACTTATTGATTTCTCCCTCTTTCCCCCCCCTTAATATATTTAAATTGAAGATGAAAAAGTGATAATGAAATGGCTCAATATGGAGAGAGATTCCTCATATCTTTAGAAGAGAGAGTGACGCGAGAAAGCTTTCTATCCCAAACCGCACTCCTCGACATAACCTGAACCCAACACAGTTTCTCAGCCACACAATTTCTAAATTTTCCAAAATTCCCCAACACATAATAAAATTTGAAAGAAACAAAACAAAACAAATTCCTCATATTTAGAGGAGATAGAGTGACACCATATAAAGTTTTTCTCCCCCAAACTGTACACTGTTCCTCCATAGAACCCAAGCCAACCCAAATCTTTCTCAAACTCCACCATTTCCAAATTTCCGGAATTTGCAAATATATAACTTAATAAAATAAAATTGATAAAAAGCATAGAGATAGTGTCTTGGTGATGAAGGATGAGTGATTGACGAGGAAAAGAGGAATCTAGGGTGTGCGGGTGATGATGGAGGAGGAGTGATTGAAGAGAGAAAGGGAATGGAGGAGAGAGAGGGTGCCAAAGAGAGAGAAGAAAATAGGTGCAAAAAACATTAGTAAAATTTTAAATTGCAACTTAAATTGGTTTCCAGCTGTCAATATTTTATTGGATGAGGATACTGATGTTGGATGCTGAATGTGGAATCCCTGTGACAGGGAAAACTTTCTCCCATGAATGAAGCAATTTTCGATTTTGACCTCAACAATACATCATGTGCCATGTACATGCTCAAATTTAACATAAAAAGTTAAGAAAACTGACGGCATGATCATTTGTCCTAACAAAACTGAAGTTGAAAAACAATGTGAATGATTTTGGAAATTAAGGGACCAAACTGTGAATCATGTCAAAATTCAAGGACCTTTAATTGAAAAACCCAAATTTCAATCAATGAGTTAATATGAAGGCCTATATAAAATATATACCAGGATGAATCAATGAGTTGATTTTGTCGCGAAAAATTGTAAAGTCTCCTTTATAATCACAAAGTATAAATAGTGCTTGTGTCTGTGGACCAATGTGATCAATGCCTTGTTCAGGTAACATTAGCATGTAATGCTTACAACAAATCTTCTTCCTACACTAACAACTAAAGTTACCTGAAATTAATAATAAAATTGAATTACAAGCCACAAAAAGAACTGATACCTTAGGCTCAAGGTTGATCCTTGTACTAGCTAGCCATCTTGTTTTGATCACATCCAATGAAGTGGTAATTGGGATTGCCTATGGACTTGTTTACTTCCCATACTCGAATGGATTAGTAAACTTAGTTACCTCTCTCTCTCTCATGATATCTGATTAAAAATACCAAATGGGTCATTGGGAGACTGAGCGTTGAACTTTTAGTTTGAGAGTAAACCACCACTATTTTAATTAGTTTTAAATACTAAACAAACAGTTATAATAAAATCTATATATATAAAGCAAAAGGCAGAGAATGGTGAAACATTCAAAATACCAAAAAATGCC